GACGTAAGTCCGACGTGCGTCCGACGCGAACCCGATGTGAGCCCGACGTGCATCAGACGTGGATCCTATGTACATGTGATCTCTAATTGCCGCGCGAGGCCTCAGGAGTTTCCTCATAACTCCCTGCGCTCACTCATGGCCTGCCTCGGCTGCCGCGTCAAGGGCAGGGTATGGCTGCTGGCCCTGCTGGCTGTCACCAGCCGGGTGCTGGCCAGAGGTGGCTACGGCCCGAGGTGACCCCAGCGTTGTCTTCATTCTCATTGTCGTCCTCCTCCTCGTCCCTTCTTCTCCTCGTCCCTCCTCCTGCTGCTCCTCCTCCTCCTCCTCCTCCTCCTCCTCCTCCTCCTCCCCCTGCTCCCCCCTCTCCTCCTCAACAGAATCTGGGGGTACGGCGGGAGAAGGCCCAGGCGTCGAGGGCAGCAGCTCCTCTGGACGCGTCCTGGCTCTCTCTCTCTCTCTCTCTCTTTTTTTTTTTTTCTCTCTCTCTCTCTCTCTCTCTTTTGCATCCCATGGGACCCCTCGCGGGATGTCTCTCTTGTTCCTCCTCTTCGTCCCTCCTCTTGCTCCTCCTCGTCACTCCTCCTCTTGCTCCTCCTGCTCCTCCTGCTCCTGCTCCTCCTGCTCCTCCTCCTCCTCCTCCTCCTGCTCCCTCCCTCCCTTCCTCCTTCTCATCCTCCTCCTCGACAGGATCTGGCTCTCTCCTTTGCACCCCAGGAGCCCTCGCGGGAGGTCTCTCTTCCCAGGGATCCCGCGAGACCTCCAGGAGCCTCCGGGAACCGGGCCCAGTGGTCCCAGGGTCCCCAGATTGGGCGGCCTGGGAATGCTGGCATGGAGGGTTTCTCCGAAGGGCTTAGGCGACCCGCCTCCTCCTCCCTCCTCCTCCTCCTCCCTCCTCCTCCTCCTCCTCTCCCTCGCCTCCTCCTCTCTCCTCCTCCTCCTCCTCCTCCTCCCTGGCCTCATCCTCCCTCCTCCCTCCTCCTCCTCCCCCCTCTCCTCCTTCCTCCTCCTCCTCCTCCTCCTCCCTCCTCCTCCTCCTCCTCCTCCTCCTCCTCCCCCTCCTCTCCATCCTCCCTCCTCCTCCTCCTCCGCCTCCTCCTCCTCCTCCTCCTCCTCCTCCTCTTCCTCTTCCTCCTCCTCGGGTCGCCTACGGCCCGGGGGGAAGCCGTGCAGGGTGGCCCTGAGATCCGAGCTCTCGAATAAAGTGCAACATCGCAAGTGGATTCTACCGGAGCCCTGGACCCCACCTGTTTGCTTCATGTGCCCAGCCGGATCGGTCTGTGAGGGCCCCGGGGCTCGCACTCGGGCGAAATGCGCCCCCCGTGTGAGAACGCTGGTCCTTGGCTTTCGGGTCAGAACTCGGCTCTCCGGGGGCCGTCCGGGACGATCCGGGCACCCGTGGAACACCCTCGGCAGTCCGCAGCTGCCAGATAGCCTCCCGAGGCCGCACAGCCGCCGAGAACCGACGAAGATTCCCGAAGACCTCGAGCCTCGAAGAAGGGGGGTGGGGGGCGCCTCGCGTCGGGGGCCGTTCTGCCAGCGCCCGGGCCATGCTGCTGGGGGGGGCCAACTTCTTGTCAGTGTACTCCACCCTGGCGGCCCACGGGTACGGTGCGATCCTGGCGGCGCGCCCAGGGGGGAGGGGCAGAGCGGAGGGGGCGGCCTTGCGAAGAGGCAGGGGGCACCTCCGCGAGGGGCGCGGCAATCCATACCAAGCAGCGTGGCCTCCCTACGTTCGAGTCGCGGACGGACTGCAGAACTGGTGCGCCCCCAAATTGACAATACCGTCGAAGCAACGGCGGAAGCGCAGAATGTTCGCAAACGTGCGAAGACTGTACGGTGTTTTTCTTCCTGTAGGTCCAAATCAAGTTTGGGGTAATTCAGCTTTGTACTGCCGGCCAACGATGAAAAGTAATTTCCTCCCCCCCTTCCCGGAGGCCTTGATTTCATTGTAAGGGTTCCACTCGTCAAATCTTGGGGCCGGGAACTTTTTTTTATCGCCCCCTCGCTACGGCCTCATTTATTGATATTATCATGCCACGTACTACTATTTCATCAACCTACTACTACTACTACTACTACTACTACTACTACTACTACTACTACTACTACTACTACTACTACTACTACTAACCGACTACTACTACCACTACTACTACTACTACTATATACTACTACTACTACTACTTACTACTACTACTAACTACTACCTACTAGTACTACTACTACTACTACGACTACTACTACTACTCTATTTACTACTTACTATGTAATACCTACTACTTGCTACTACTACTACTACTACTACTACTACTACGAACTACTACGAACTACTACTCTGACTACTACTACTACTACTACTACTACTACTACTCTACTACTCTACTACTACTACTAAACTACTACTACTACTATTACTTCTACTACTTCTACTACTACTACTACTACTACTACTACTACGACTACTGCTACTACCACCACTGCTACTGTTTCTACTACTGCTACTACTACGACTGCTGCGTTTGGTGCGACTGCGACTACGACTGCGACGACGACGACGACGACTACTACGACCTACTAACTATCACTACTATTTCTATTACTACGATTGCGAATACACTACTACTACTACTACTACTGCTGCTACTACTACTACTACTACTACTAGCACTACTAGCACTACTACTACTACTACTACTACTACTACTAATACTAACTACTACTACTATACTACTACACTACTACTACTACTACTACTACTTACTACTGCTACTACTACTACTACTACGACTTACCTACTACTAGCACTACTACTACTACGACTATACTACTCTACTACTGCTGCTACTACTACTAACTATACTACTACGACTACTACTACTACTACTATACTACTACTACTACTGACTACTACGACTACTACTGCTGCTACTACTACTACCACTACTATCACCGCCACACTGCACTACTACTACTGACTACGACCTACTACTAACTACTACTACGACCTACACGAACACGACCACTAACTACTACTACTACGAACTACTACACAACTACTACTACTACTACGACTACTTACTACTACTATTACTACTACTACTGCTACTACTACTACGCGTATTACTACTACTACTACCACTACTATTATTACTACGACTACTACTACTGTGACTACTACTACTACTACTACTACTACCACTACTACTACTACTACTTCTTCTTCTTCTACCACCACTACTACTACTACTACTACTACTACTACTACTACTACTACTACTACGACTGATAAAACTACTACTCGACTACTACTACTACTACTATACTCTACGACTACTACCACTACTACTAACGAGCTACTAACTACTACTACTACTACTACTACACTCTACTACTACTACTCTACTAATAAACTACCTACTACTACTACTACTACTACTACTACTACTACTAACTAGCTGTACTAACTAACGACTAAATACGACCTACTACTACTACTACTACTACTACTACTACTACCACTACTACTACTACTACTACGAATTCTGCTACTACTACTACTACTACTACTACTACCACTACTACTACTACTACTGCTACTACTACTACTACTACTACTACTACTACTACTATGTACTACTACTACTACTACTACTACTACTACTACTACTACTACTACTACTACTACTACTACTACTACTACTACTACTACTACTACTACTACTACTATTCCGACTATATCACTATTCCTCCTACTGGCACTACAACTACTATTGCTGCGATTGCTGCTACTAAGAGCAGCACGTCTACCACGACAACTACTTCTACTACGACTACGACGGCCACAGGTCTTTGTCCCCACATCCTGAGTGGGGTTCTTGTTTTCCCAGGACGCCCTCTCCTTCCCACCTTCCCACCTTCCCACCTTCCCACCTCCCGCTCCCTCTTCCTATTCCTACCATACCATACTATACCATACCATACAATACCGCTCCCTCTTCCTACTCCTACCATACCATACTATACCATACAATACAATACCAGACCATACTATAGCAGACCACCGTACCTACCATACCACACCTAGGAAACCATACATACACCATCACAGCATAGCTACCACACGATACAATACCATACAATACCTACCTACCACGCTCGCTCCCTCTTCCTATTCCTACCGCTCCAGGGAGGCCCCGCCAGAGCGAGGACAGTATTCGCGAACAATATTATTTATCCGGTTTCGTGCCCCTCCCACCCCTCCAGGGAGGCCCCGCCAGAGCGAGGACAGTATTCGCAAACCATATTATGTATCAGGTTTCGCGCCCCTCCCAGCGCTCCAGGGAGGCCCCGCCAGAGCGAGGACAGTATTCGCAAACCATATTATGTATCAGGTTTCGTGCCCCTCCCACCGCTCCAGGGAGGCCCCGCCAGAGCGAGGACAGTATTCGCAAACCATATTTGTTATCAGGTGTCGTGCCCCTCCCACCCCTCCAGGGAGGCCCCGCCAGAGCGAGGGCAGCATTCGCAAACAGTATTATTTATCAGGTTTCGTGCCCCTCCCACCGCTCCAGGGAGGCCCCGCCCGAGCGAGGACAGTATTCGCAAACCATATCATTTTTTCAGGTTTCGTGCCCCTCCCACCGCTCCAGGGAGGCCCCGCCTGAGCGAGGACAGTATTCGCAAACCATGTTGTGTATCAGGTTTCGTGCTTATCCCACCCCTCCAGGGAGGCCCCGCCAGAGCGAGGACAGTATTCGCAAACCATATTATTTATCAGGCTTCGTGCCCCTCCCCGCTCCAGGGAGGCCCCGCCAGAGCGAGGACAGTATTCGCAAACCATATTATTTATTAGGTTTCGTGCCCCTCCCAGAGCGAGGACAGTATTCGCAAACCACATTATTTATCAGGTTTCGTGCCCCTCCCAGCGCCCCAGGGAGGCCCCGCCAGAGCGAGGACAGTATTCGCAAAACATATTATTTATCAGGTTTCGTGCCCCTCCCACCGCTCCAGGGAGGCCCCGCCAGAGCGAGGACAGTATTCGCAAACCATATTATTTATCAGGCTTCGTGCCCCTCCCACCCCTCCAGGGAGGCCCCGCCAGAGCGAGGACAGTAACCGCGAACCTTTTGCGTGGCTTGCCCGCACTGCGCGCGCGAAGGCCCCCGCTCTTGTGCTGTCGTTCCGATTTGCACTATCTTGGCCGCGTCGTGTACGCGAGGTATTCCCCAAAACATTTGCCTGCACATCGCCATCGCCAATTGCAGTCTTCGTCGCCCCCGTCACCCGGCCATCCTCGTCGACCCCTCCCCCCGCACCTCCGCCTCTTCCTCTTCCTCCTGACTCAGCCCGCGCCATATTAAAACGCCCATGTGGGGAAATCCGTTAGCATAATTTACCTCTACTTCTGCCAAAACGACTACCACTTCCACCATTATTATTTTCTATTACTATTACTATTACTACTACTACTACTACTACTACTACTACTACTACTACTACTACTACTACTACTACTACTACTACTACTACTACTACTACTACTACTACTACTACTACCACTACTACTACTACTACGACTACTACGGCTACTACTCTACTACTCTACTACTCTACTACTCTACTACTACTACTACTCTACTACTACTACTACTACTACTACTACTACTACTCCTACTACTACTACTACTAACTACTACAACTACTCCTACTACTACTACTACTACTGCTACGACCAGTACCACTACGACTACTACTACTGCTACGACCAGTACCACTACGACTACTCTCACGACTACGACTTCTACTTTCACCCATCATTTGTTTATGAGTATCTGATCCGTAAGGGCTTCGCCCCATGCCGCCGGTCCCCTGTCTCGGAGAACTGGAGATGCAAGAGCTAAATCATGAGGTCTGGGCGCCGCCGTGAAGCAGTGCCGGGACCTGTTTGTTTTTCGATCCTGACCCTACGGATCTGCTTGAGGGGTGCCACCGGATTTTAGACATGTGGCCAATCCCGTGTGTTTTTGGACCCTGACCCTACGGATTTGCGTGAGGGGTGCCGCTGGATTTCAGAAATGTGGCAAATCCCATATGTTTTTTGACCCCGACCTTGTCGATCCGCATGAAGGGTTCCACCGGATTTCAAAGATGTTGAGGATCCATTGGGTTTTCGGACCCTGACCCGCCGATCTGCGTGAGGGGTGCCATCGAATTTCAAAAATGTGACAAATCCCATGTGTTTTTGGACTCTGACCCCGCCGATCTGCGTGAGGGGTGCCGCCGAATTTTAGAAATGTGGCAAATCCACTGTGTTTTCGGACCCTGACCCGCCGATCTGCGTGAGGGGTGCCATCGAATTTCAAAAATGGAATTATGCTAACTGGGTTCCCCACATGGGCGTTTTAATAGGGCGCGGGCTGAGTCAGGAGGAAGAGGAAGAGGCGGAGGTGCGGGGGGAGGGGTCGACGAGGATGACCGGGTGACGGGGGCGACGAAGACTGCAATTGGCGATGGCGATGTGCAGGCAAATCTTTTGGGGAACACCTCGCGTACACGACGCGGCCAAGATACTGCAAATCGGAACGACAGCACAAGAGCGGGGGCCTTCGCGCGCGCAGTGCGGGCGGGCCACGCAAAAGGTTGGCGAATGCTGTCCTCGCTCTGGCGGGGCCTCCCTGGAGGGGTGGGAGGGGCGCGAAACCTGATAAATAATATGGTTTGCGAATACTGCCCTCGCTCAGGCGGGGCCTCCCTGGAGCTGTGGGAGGGGCGCGAAACCTGATAAATAATCAGAGTGAGGGGGCCGAACGGTCATTCACTGTCCCTGTGTGCGTGGCTGATGTGGAATTCCGCGGTGCGGATTCTTGTTGTTGTTGTTGTTTGTTGTTGTTGTTTGTTGTCGTCGTCCCACCCGCAACCCGCCCCGCGACCCACCCGCGACCCACCCCGCGACCCACCCCGCGACCCACCCGCGACCCACCCGCGGCCCGCCCCGCGACCCACCCGCGACCCACCCCGCGACCCACCCCGCGACCCACCCCGCGACCCAACCCGCGACCCACCCCGCGACCCCCCCGCGGCCCGCCCCGCGACCCACCCGCGACCCACCCGCGACCTACCCCGCGACCCACCCGCGACCCACCTTCGACCCAAACCACGTTCAAGGTACAAACCACAATTTTCGGCGCCTGCGGCGGGCTTTTTTGCATTCCTTCCAAGTGGAGAGCCCGCGACACATCCCGTGACCAACTCGCGACCAACCCGCGACCCAAACCGCGTTCAGGGTACAAACCACATTTTTCGGCGCCTGCGGCGGGCATATCTTGTATTCGTTTCAGGTGGAGAGCCCGCGGCCCACCCGCGACAACGTTCAGGGTACAAACCACATTTTCGGCGCCTGCGGCGGGCATTCTTTGCATTCGTTCCCTGTGGAGAACCCGCGGCCCACCCGCGACCCAAACCTCGTTCCGTGTACGATACGAACCAATTTTTTTGGTGCTTGCGGCGGGCTGCTTTTGCATTCCTTCCAGGTGGAGGTGGAGAGCCCGCGGCCCACCCGCGACCTAAACCACGTTCACTGAACAAACCAATGCCGCACAAGCGCGGCGGCGGATTCTTGCATGCCGTCTGAGATGGTGAGGATGGACGACAATGGGAGGACGATGATGGAGGCCGATGAGGGGGAGGACGACAATGGGAGGACCATGATGAAAAAACGAGGGGGGGAGAGGGAGGACGAGGAAGAAAAGGAGGAGGATGACGATGACGATGAGGACGAGGAAGAGGAGGAGGAGAAGGAGGAGGAACAGGAGGAGAAGGAGGAGGAGGAGGAGGAGGAGGAGGTGGAGGAGAGCGCCATCGACAAGGAAGGTGGGGGCCACGAGGTCCGCCGGCTCGACGACGCCCGCGTCGCCCGCGCCCGCCCCCTCACTCTTATCCGCAATTGCGGGGTGCTACGTATATATATGTTCCAGTTTCCGACCTTGCTCAGGTAGGCGACCCAGAAGCCCTTGTAGGCAAACCTCCAGCCCTCGGCCCGGAACGACTTGGCCAAGCAGTCCGTCAGGCCCCTGTAGTGCAAGCCGGCTCCGGAGGCGTCGAAGGGCGGGCGGCGTCCACTGACCGCCTCGCCCATCCTGGCCGGGACCTTCCCGGACCCAGGGCGCCCGGCCTGGCCAGGGGCGTGCACGCCCGGTGAGGACACAGGCAAACTGAGAAACAAGTTAGGAACACGGAGCCCCTCCCCAACGCAAAGGGTTCCTTCTTCAGCGCCCCGACCGTAACACCAGAGGGGGTCGAGAGGCTCAAAAAGGGGGAAGGAATCCGGGAGCGTGTCCCGGCCTTGGGCCCGGGGCGCAGGTGCTCGGGCACAGGATGCACGCACAAATTACAGCACGCACTGGCCCTGGTGGTCGCTGTGGCAACCCAGCGCGCACGAGAACCTCGGAGGAGCCTCGCATGCATCCTGCACGGACTTCGAAGGAACCCCAAGGAGGAGCCTACAGGAAACTCGAAGGAGCCTCACACGGAATGTCAAGGCCCAAAGGGAGTCTCCAAGGAATCCCAAAGGAGCAGCAGAGGAAAACAGAGGAGAATCCCGACGACATCTCCCTGGATCGGAGCGCGTGCGCATGTAGACATGTGGCCGAGGATCGCTCGAGCAACGGCGGAAAACGCCCCCCTGCAGTCGAAGCCGACGCAGCTCTCCCTCCACCCGACCGGGCACTCACTGCTTGCCTCCAGAGTTGCGGCGTAGACACCAATACCGGGCCCCAGGATGGGCCCGGCCAGGACGGGTGAGGTGGCCAGCTGACGTCGCCCGAGAAGGGCTGCGACATTAGCCGCGATCTGGCGACGTCGAACGGCGAAGAGGCCAGGGCCGACAGCAGCCCACTGAACATCGCCGCTGAGAAATGCAAAGCTACGCCCTCGCGCATCCAGCCGCGCCGGAGGATGGCGCACTTGACCTCGTCGTAGCCTCCTGTCGTGGGTATGAACCCCCCTCCAACGACCCTCACCTCCTCTCGTGGCGAAGAAAACCACGACGGACGATTTTGAGCTGTTTCCGGGCTTCGGGGGCCCGTACCCGGTCCCAGGACCAGGAAAGAACGGCTCCGGATGAAACCCTGACCGCGAAGAAGTGGCCCAGACCTCTGGAGATCCACGCCGCGAAAGAGTCTCACGGCGTCGGAATTCTGTGGGCTGCCGGCCCTTGCCAAGAACGGGCAGCGTGGAAGCTTGGGGCGGAAGGTTTCTCCGTGGGGCCAGCTCCACCAAGCGCCGTTGGGGGACGTCGTGCGAGCGGGTCTGTGCTCCGAGGGCGCTGCGGTGCGAAGGCCCGGGCCTGCTGCCCTCCAGTGCCTGCGCGCCCTCCTGTGGCCTCGCGGCGTCGAGCTGCCGTGGTCGACAGTCCTCCTCACTCCTCCTCTGACAGCCTCCCGTCGTCGCTTCCCTCTTGATGGACGAGCGCGCTCCACCACTCCCAAAGTGGCTAACTCGCAACCGGCCTGGATCCGCCGCGGCGGATCTGCGATACGCTGCACCGAAGCAGACATGTGTTGTTCCGGTGTTTGCGAGTAGGCGCTTTGCGAGTAGTGGAACGCGCTCGGTGACTTGACGTCGCGCTCACCCAGCCAGCTGCCCCTCTGCCAAAAGTGCTCGTTCTGTTCAATTCGGGAGGTGCCTGCCAAGGCCCTCTCGACCTCGTGCGGGCCCGACCATGCAGGGGTTGCAGACTGGCTCGCAAGCTTCAACGGGGCCACACAACAACTGACTTTCTCCTCCAGCTGCAGTCGCTCCTCCTCCTCCTCCTCCTCCTCCTCCTCCGCCTCCTCCTCCTCTGTTACCTTCTCCTCCTCTTTTCCTTCTTCCTCCTCCTCCTCCTCCTCTTCCTCCTCTTCTTCTTCTTGCTCTTCCTCCTTCTCCTCCTCCTCCTCCTCCTCCTCCTCCTCCTCCTATCGTGCCCCTTCTGCAATGCTATGAAGACGTGCGGTGCTGCGTTTTGTGTAATGCCGTATGTGGCCATGCGTCCGTATTCGGGCGAATCCAACGCGCAAAAAGGACACCCTCTGCACTGCCGTGCAATGCCGTGTGGTGGAATGTGGCGCCATCTGCTGAAGTCTGCATGGCCACGAGCTCGGATTCAGGTGCGTCGAGGCGCTGCCGTATGTTGCCGTGGGACGCAATGCGGAGCCGTTTGCGTGGCCACAAACTCGGAACCGTCGGCTGCCGACATGCGCAATCGTAGCCCAATGCCGTGCTGTCTGGTGCTGTGTCGCGGTATGTGGCACTGCGCTGAGGCGCCTGCGTGGTCGTGAGCTCGGACTCGAGAGCGCTCGAGCTCGATCTCAATATCATGTCATCGAGGGCGCCCCCGCACATCAGAATGAGTGACCATTATGATGGCGGTCCGCCGTGGTTTGCACTTTTTCGATCTTCAGTGAGGGCCTAAGCCTAAGCGCCCCCGACCGCATCCAGACTTCGCAGCCGCTCGGGTACGGCGCGGCAGCACGCGGTGGATGCGATGCCCTCTCGCTTCGATCTCACCTCCATGTGCATACACACTCGTAAAGTCTTGCACCGATCGAAGGGGTGCGCCCCGCTGCGTGCCCCAACTTCATCAAGTCGATACCCTGGCCTTAGGTCGGGCATGTCCCCCTACAGATGGAATTTTTAGGCGAAAACATGGAAAATACTTAAACAATTTCTCAAACAAATATATTTTTTATACCCCTCCAAAAAAAAACGTCCCAAGACTATTTTTTGACTATTGTTGCATACTCCTCTTGTAGAGGGACATGCCCGACGTAACCCTGGCCAAACACGTTTTGGACATGGGCGGCCGCGGCGGTGGGGAGCCGGGGCCCCGGCTCCTCACCTCACGCCCCCCCCTCCTCCTCCTCCTCCTCCGCCTCCTCCTCCTCCGCCTGCTCCTCCTCCTCCGCCTGCTCCTCCTGCTCCTCCTCCTGCTCCTCCTCCTCCTCCTGCTCCTCCTCCTCCTCCTCCTCCTCTCCTCCTCCTCCTCCTCCTTCGACGTCGGGTGCGGCGTTTGCGAGCCCCGAGGAGACGTGGGGCTGGGCTTCGGACTGGGCGTGGGGCGTGGCATCGGGAAGGGCCTCGGGAGGAGCACCGGGGAACGGCCCAGTGAGGGCGAGGGGGAGCAGGACACTCGGGTCGGGCGAAAGGGGGGGGATAGCAAAGGGGGGGTTTGAGAATCAGCTCACGTAGCTGATTTTCCCGGCGCCTCCCGGCGCCGGAGGCGACTATGTATCGAGGAATGGGCCCCTCGGTGAGGCCGAAATCAGCTGCATGCAGCAAATTTCGTACCCCCCCCTTTCCCAATCCCCCCCTTTCGCCCGGCCCGAGACACGAGGGGGGAGGGCGCAGGGCAGGGAGGAGAGACCCGAAGGGGAGGGCGGTGCCCACCGGTGTGCCCATGAAAGCTCGGGGCACCAGTCCCGCGAAAAAAAAACAATGCAAACAGCCATGGGGCCACTCCCGAACGCAAGTTCTCACCGCCAGGACGGGGGCCGAAAAGGTTCCCGAAAACACGTGCCGCACCGCAACAGTGGTCACACCGCAAATGATAATGGTCACACCCCGATAGTGGTCCCACCCCACGGGTGGCTAATGGTCCGCCACCGCCACCGTGCCTGTACGGAGTGGGCGTGCTGGAATGCTCGTCTGTTCTCTGGGAGGTTCTGTAAAAGTTAAAAGGGGCCCCCTCCCCCCCCTTGCCGCGCGCGCCGCTCAGAAACCGCCTCCTCTGAAACTGCTTCCTGGCCGTCTTTCGGCTTCCAGACGGCCAAGATCGCCTCCAGGACGGCTTCCAAGACAGCCAAGACGACGACGAAACGGCTCAAGATGGCCCAAGGCAGCTCAAGAGCCTCTCGAGGGAGACTCAAGACGGCTGAAGATAGCCCAAGATAGTCCAAGAGGGCTTCAAGACGGCCTAAGAGGCCCTCAAAAGACGGCCAACGAGAGCTCCAAGAGGCCTTCCTGGAGAGCCCGAGGGGGCCCAAACCGTTGATTTCCCTAAAAGTTTTTTGAAGTTCTGGCCTGTTCGGGTTTCCGACCACCCAAGACGACCCAAGAGGCATCCAAGAAGCCTCCAAGATAGCTCCAAGACAGCCCGAGAGGCCCCCAAGAAGACCCGATGTCGGCCCAAGAGGACCCAAAGATCGTCCAAGGGGCTCCCAAGAGGGCCCCAAGACAGCCGTGAAACGCTCCGAGAGAGCAACAAGACGGCCCAGAGGCGCCTCTTGGGCTATCTTGGGCGGTCGGCAACCCAAACATGCCAGAACCTGAACCCCCTTCAAAAACCAAACAAAATCAATGGTTGCTGCCTCCTCGGGCTCTGCTGGAGGGCCTCTTGGAGACATCTTGGGCCGCTTTGAGGGCCTATTGATCTGTCTTCTTGGGAGCCTCGTGGCCTCCAGGTCGGCTTTCAAGGCAACCAAGATGACGACAAGATGGCCCAAAATGGCCCAGGACGGCTCCAGAGGCTCCCATTATAACCTCAAGACAAATCAAAAAGCCCCCAAGACGGCCCAAGAGGTCTCCAAGAGGCCCTCCTGGAAAGTCTGAAGAAGCCAAAACCATTGACTTCCCATATGTTGTTGCAAGAATAAGAGGCTCTCACCTGTTCGGGTTTCCGACCGCCCAAGACGGCTCAAGAAGCCTCCGAGAGGCCTCCAAGATAGCTCCAAGACAGCCCGAGAGGCCCCCCAAGAGGGCCCGAAGTCGGCCAAAGAGGACCCACACATCGCCCAATGGGGCTCCCAAGAGGACCCCAAGACGGCTGTGAAGCGCTCCGAGAGGGCACCAACGCGGCCCAGAGAGGGCCCCCAAGCGGCCTTGACAGGCGTCAGACGGGCCAAGGGTCTCCGAGGACGGCCTAAGAGGCCACGCGAAGCCCCCAAGATGCCCCATGAGGTCCCCAAGAGGCCCTCAAAAAGTTGTCGGGAAGCCCCCAGGAGGCGCCCAGGAAGCCCCAAGAAGGCCCCAAGAAGGCCTCCCCTTCTCATCGTCCCTTTCTCCCTCTCCTCCTCCTCCTCCTCCTCCTCCTCCTTCTCCTCCTCCTCCTCCTCCTCCTCCTCCTCCTCCTCCACCTTCTCTTCCTTCTCCTCCTCCTCCTCCTCCTCCTCCTCCTCCTCCTCCTCCTCTTCCTCCTCCTCCTCCTCCTCCTCCTCCCCCCTACCGCGCGAACGAAGTCGAGGTCGGGATCACGACCCGCCCCAATGCAGACTACTCGTCGGAATTGCGCTGCTCCTATACTCAGCCTCCTTCCTGCTGCGCTGTTGCACGGGCACGGTGGCCGGGTTTGCCGCAGGCAGCTGGGTGACACCTCAATGGTGGGCACACCCCAATACCAGTCACACCACAACAGTGGTCATACAAGAGAGTCGCACAGGAGAGACTTGTGGGCAACCACCGTGACATGGCCTAAGCAGCGCTCACACTGTGGCAGCTCTGCTCGGCTGGCATGAACTCCAGCATAAGAGCACAACCTCCAAATTCAATGTGTGCTGCGTCTGTTGATGCAGGCGTTCCCGCCTCGAAAGCGCAAGGACAGTCGCGAGGCTGCCGTCGAAACTTGATGCAGGGAGTGTGGATGCGAATATTGTTATCGCAGGTGCGCGGTCGAGGCGCTGCTGCGGCCTCCAGCTCCCGCACGTGCCTCGACGGAGAGCAGCCGTGGCCACAGGTCCTCGTGGACGTGCGGGCAGCGCGCCCGTGAAATGGACTCGCACGCAGTGAACTGCGAGAGACGGGGTGAGGGGGCCGAACGGTCCTACGCGCGGGGGAATCATTACCTCTACCCCTGGCCATCGCTCGGACGTCCATTCCCTGTGTTTTCTTCGATGTCGTGCGTGGTTTTTTCGCCGAATGATCGAGGATGCTCCTCGATGGTCCTCGCCGAAGGAAAATGCACACGTCCGAGCGATGCCAAGACCCTTGTCCAGGACTTTTCGCCGCCCACCGCGGGCGTGGGCGATCTGTCACCGCCGCGGCAGTGCGGCTCTGTCGACGCTGCGGCCGACGCCCGCCTGGCACTGCGAGACCGCTGCGCCCCTATAGGCAGTGGCTCGAAGAAGTCGTAACATATCAACTGGACGGGGGCAGGGATACGTATTCCGTCGCGGATCTCGCACCATCCCGGGTGCGTGCCTGAAGTGGGCTTTCGCAGTGGAGGGCTACTGTTGTTTGCTTGTTGGTTGCTGCTGCCTGTTGCTGTCCTCGCCCGCGACCCGCCCCCCCGACCCACCCACGACCCGCCCGCGACCCCTCCATGACCCACCCGAGACCCCATTGATGATCATCCGGCGCCGGCGCCGGCGGGCTCGTCGCGCCATCTGGAGCAACAATACATGGTGCCAGCGCGGTGGGCTTCTTCAGAGCCTCGCAGACTGCCGACGACCCGCCGCCCCCTCACTCTTGTCCGCAGCTGCGGGGGCTATTGTACTGGGGGTCCCTTTGGAGGGCGCCGAGCAAAAGATAGGCAGTGATATGAAAAGGCTTTGCAATGCCCATGTCTCGCTGGGGATTCATCAGCGCACGGGGACTAGCGCTGAACGCCGGCGGCGTCCGCGGGGAACACGGGGGTTCATTGCCCCTCCTGGGGCCCCCCCCCCTGGCCGAAATCGGTGCGCTCCTGACAGTACGCCGACTTACGACACCCCGAATAGCCCGAGCATGGTGGAGATCGACAGGTAATTGGTTCCGCCAGCACCCATGAGCAGTGGCAGAGGGCGATGTGTAAGGCTACAGTTTAAGGCTCCCCCCACCCCACCCGATGCACCATCGCTTGGCATTGTGGCCCGTGGCTGGTAGTCTGGATGCCGGCTTCCATTAGGAGGAGAAAACGCTTCATAAGCACAAGCTGTCGGAGGTCCGCGCGGATTTCTTGCATAGGCGCTGGACCTCCCTCCCTGGCGCGCGGGGCGCAACAGGGACTGCGCCAGAGGCGCCGCAAGTGAAACCCAGGCGCCGATACAAGATACCCTCGAAGGGTTTCGAAGGCTTATGCTTATGGTGTCTTGTCTTCGTCGATGGTAGAGTCGGGGGGGCAGCTTCCATCGGAGCAGGCCGAATTGAGACCACGAGTGTCAAAAAATCGGTCACTGGACCCCTCGCGAGGTCCACACGCACCAGTGTTCTGCGCTGCTTCCAGCCGTGGCGACGAGGGGGCCCTCCGAAAGCACCCCACCACTGCCCCAACTCGCCCTCCTCTGACTTCTTCCGTGCTCGCGGTCCGATCTCCACCATGCCCACGATGGTCGCGCGGGCGCTGGCGGGCCCCGCGCCCTTGTAGAGGCCGAAGGGCCCCTCGTGCCGGAAGATGCTGGCGGCCGCGTGGGGCAGACTGCGGTAGCGCGGAGGCGCCTCTGCGCAAGGGCGCATGCCCTGTGCCATCATGCGAACCTGGGGGACGGCCGACAGCACGTACCGAGACCGGCGCAGGCCGCGCCTCTCTGAGGGCCCAGGATTGGCGTACATACACAGCGAGGGACAAACAGTTGTGTGAACATAAAGCTCCCAGAGGCCCGTACGCACCTCCCAAAGTTCGTGTGTGTATGCTGCCTTTGGTCTCCAAGTGTGCCCTCCTGGCCTGAGCAGAGGGGCTCTTCGCATCAACCCTCGCTTTCTGCGGGGGGGAAGCTCCAGGTGGCCCGAGGCCTCCTGGGGCCTCCTCGGAGCTTCCCTGAGATCCGAAGTTGCAAAACAAATGCAACATCGCACAAAATCGCGCCCGGAGCCCTGGACCCAATTTTTCTGCGTCGTTTTCGTTCGAGCCCGATCGATATGTCAGGGTCCCGGGCCCCGAAATCGGGCGCGAAAGCGCCCGATGCCCAAACAAAATGCAACGCCAGGATCTCAGGGTTTCGGGTGCCTCCTGGGTGCCGGAAAACGCGGGCCTCCGGGGGCCCGGAGAGGGCGGGGTTCGGCCGCCTGGAGCTGCTTTGCCGCCTGGAGGAGGAGGGAGGAGGAGGAGGAGGAGGAGGAGGAGGAGGAGGAGGAGGAGGAGGAGGAGGCTCCGCCAGCATCGGTGCCAGAGGGTGGTTGGAAGTCGGCGGCGGACCTTGATGAGGTCCAGCGGGGTGCATATGAAGGCCGACGCGCCCCCCGCGCACCCCGCTGCCAGCGCCTCGAGAAGGAGAGGGGGGAGGACGGGGGAAGGAGAGAGGAGCAGAAGGAGAAGGAGGAGGAGGAGGAGGAGGAGGAGGAGGACAAGGGGGGGGATGAGGACGAGAAGAAAGAGTGGAGTGAGGGGGAGGAGAGAAGAGGGGGACGAGTACAAGAGAAGGGAGGGGGGGAGGATGGGGAAAGGGGAGGGGAGCAGAAGGAGGAGGAAGAAGAGGAGGAGGAGGAGGAGGAGGAGCAGAAGGAGGAGGAGTGAGGAGGAGGAGAGGAGGAGGAGGAGGAGGAGGAGGAGGAGGAGAGGAGAGGAGGAGGGGGGAGGAGGATGAGGATGAGAAGCAAGGGGAATGGGAGGAGGAGGGGGGATACGACGAGTAAGGATGAGGAGGAGGGACGAGAAAGAGGAAGAGGAGGAGGAGGAGGAGAAGGAGGAGGGAGGAGGAGGAGGAGGAGGAGCAGCAGCAGCAGCAACAGCAGCAGTAACTCAGTCGGCAAGAGAGCATACAAGAAAATGGGCCGACCCGACCCCATTGCGAGATCGTGAGGGATGTCCAGGTCCTCGGCGCCAGCTGCGGCAGGTGGTGAGTGAACAGACAGACAGTCAAGCTGAGAGCAAGCTAAGGTGCGCAGCATCGAATCGGCCTCAGAATGCTGGCAAGCTGCACAGTGACGCGTGGAGTTCCGGAAGCGACTGGAAGTGCACCAACACACACACACACACATCTCTATACAGCTATATATCTACACACACATATATATATATACATATTAAGATTTTGATGAGACAGCAGAAATGCATCTCCAGCGGAACAAGCGAGACAATTCTATGCAGCGCAATCCTCACATCATCGATTCTCGCCAGGCTTACGTCATGGTCAACATCCCCCAGGCGATGATGTATCATTCCCATCACTCCTGTGTGTTGGCTTCTCGCTTTGCATGGAGCACTGTGGTCTCCGAGGTTTCCCCCCCTTTTCCTTCTTCTCTATTCCGTTTCCTTCTTAATAACTTCTCCCTGTCGCAGCCCGAGGCCAGTTTGTAGGGCGGGCCGGGCGTTTCGCCTTAGACTTCCTTACCACTTACGATCCCGAAGCTTAAACAAGTTGTAATGGTTTCGCTGGTTGAGGGCGGGCCGTTTTCAAACTTTGGCTCGCGCCTTAGCGCCGCGCACATTGTTTTAACATTTGCAAGAGAGTTTAATGGATTGAGGGCGGATGGTTTTCAAAATGTGGCTCTCGCCTTTGCGCCGCGCGCATTCGTAGAACAATTGCAAGAGTTTCACGGATTGAGAGCGGCTCCTTTTCAAAATGTGGCTATCGCCTAAGCGACGCGCGCATTATCTTCAAACATTTGCAAGGGCTTCACAGATTGATATCGGTTCCTTTTCGAAATATGGCTCTCGTCCTAGCGACGCGCAAATTTGCAAGAGTTCCATGGGTTCCCATGATCAGCGTACCAGAAATTGTGTTTTGGAAGGATGCAGGATTATGAGGGTGCAACAGGTACGTTGATTCGCGATGTTGAAGTCCTAGGAATGGCGTTCTGGCACGTTTAAGGATCGTCAAGTCGCAAGGGTCAGGTTAATATGTGGCGTTGGAGTCCCGAGAACTGTGTTGTGTCATACCTCAGGGTATTCAAACGGTTGGCTTCCAACGAAGCAGTTCCCTCAGCGGAAGTGAGCCGTTGTAGGGGCCTGTGAAGAGGGAGCTTGGCGGGAGGGTTACTCCAACATCGTTGATGACTCTCGGGTTTACACTGGTCCTCCTCCTCCTCCTCCTCCTCCTCCTCCTCCTGCCCCTCCTCCTCCCTTTTTCTCCTGCCTCCTGCCTTTTTGCTTCCCTAGCTCGCACCTTTCCTGCCCGGGGGCGCGGCGAGCTGCGCAGCCGTCGCCGCTTGTGTGGGCTCCTGGAGAGAGCACGGCGGCGGTGAGAGCCCCGCAGATCCCGGTGAGACCTCGCGGCCCTCTCGGGGGCCGCGAACTGCGCAAGCGAGCCACTGTCGTGGGCTCCTGGGAAGCGCGGAGCAGGCTCGGGCACCGCCGATCCTCTGAGACCTCGCGGCTCCGCGTGCATCTTATATAGTCTCGGACCGGGCAGGAGCCGAGGCGCCGCCAGAGGCGACAGGGCGTCATGCGAGCGTGAAGCCGACGCCGTGCAGACACTCCAGGTCAGCAGGCTGACGCCTGGGCGGCCACCCGGGGTGCTCTGCCCCCCTGCCCACTCTGCATACACGTCCACGCGCTGCGCCGTGGAGCGAGCCTGATTCCCGTGCCTCCTCCCCCGCCTCCCTAGCGGCTACCGCTGCATACCTTGCCATAGGGATACAACTTGTCTGCATGCGATGCGATCGATGTGCATATCCTTTTCCAAGCCGCCTCCCGGCTAGCAACCATCATCTCTGAATCGTCGAATTCATGTCCACACCACCTTCAAGAGGCATCCTGCGACATGCGCATCTTGCCGTTGCACTGCCTACTCGCGCTGGAGACTGCTTCGATTGACCAACATCTGTTTTGGATCACGTCAGGCACAGAGCAACCTCTCCTTTGCTGATTGTTGCGCTGCTGAAGAAATGAGACCTCGCCCCAGACCCCCGACGTCATGATTTTTTTCATGACGCGACCCCCAGAAGTCCAGACCCATTCCCCGGGACCGGTTTTTCATCCCGAGTCGTTTTCTGACGGTCCCGAGGCCCGGTAAGGACCCTCCGATGCTGAAAATAGCGAAGAACCTCCCGTCGTGATTTTTTCATGACTCGGGGAGGTCTGGGGCGGCTCCCTCAGGGGCTCCGGACTGCGCAACCGTCGCCACGCTCGTGGGCCCCTGGGAGGCGAGGCGGAGGTCAGGGCAACGAGGGCCCCTTTGAAAGCCCTCGCGGCCCTGTCGGGGGCTGCGAACGGGGCAACCGTCGCCACTTGCGTGGGCTGATGGGAGGCACGGCGGAGGTCTGCGCGCAGGGGGGGGGGGCGCGCGCGTGGTCCGACGTTGTGCTGGCGATGGGTTCGAGATCGCTGCGTATGTCCCGACCGTTTTTTGTTGTTCGAGAGCTGGGCGAGGGCTGCTAAAACCGTGGCTGCTAAAACGGCCCTCCCGGAAGGAAAAAAAACAGCTTCCCGGAATGAGGCGCGGCACGCGAAACAGTCAACGGGCTTCTTCCCGGAAGGACGGAGACAATTTTCCGGAAGTCGATTTTAGCAGCCACGGATTTAGCAGCCCTGGCCCGGCTTCCAAGTTGTACGGCTCGGTCCCATCGATGGTCGCTTGAAGAAGGGGTTAGGCACGTCTCGGGGTCCTCGCTGCTCTCTTCAGATGGGGCGGGTGTGAACGTGGCAGAAGCACTTCCGCTCGCCTTTGGACATGAGTGTTGCAAGTATCAGGGACACTGGGGATGTTCGCGACGGTTCGGCAGCTGGGCCAGACCTGGGACCTGGGTAAGGCCTTCCAGAGAGGGGATCGTTGCCACAGGATGGCGCACGCATCATCCTGGCTGGCACGGAAGAGTTCCTCGATCAGTGGTCAGGGAATCAGAGAAGATGGCGTTTCTGTACGTAGCAGCACAGGAGACGGTGAGCAGATCACAGTGCTGCATAGGTAGTAGCACCTCTTCGAAATGTTCGTGGCGGAAGAGGTCATGGCGTTCCTAGTGCCAGAGGTCAATGCCTGGATGCTGTTGCTCGCCGCGCGGGGCATGTCCAAGAACGGAGAGAGAGGTGCTGCACAGGGTGGCGAAGGACGCTGAACGCAGCATAGTTTAGTGGCTGGTGCTCTTGGGCACGCCCATGCCCAGATCCCGAACTTGCTTGACACGGCATGCATTTTTAGACATAGGAGCGTCCCAGCTAGAATGGTGCCAACCGACGACAGTTGGCGACCCCCCAAGTCCCACAGGAACAAAGCTGGCCTGGATTCCCTGGTCCGAGATGCCCCCGAGGAAGATAGGCATCGCCGTCTCCTGGTTGACAATAAGTCCACATGCACAAGCCGGAGGCGACTCTGCGCCAAACGAAGAGGGACTGGCGGGGGTGGAAAATACACGCCCATGGTAGCGGTGCCGACGTCGTCGGCGAAGGCTGCGCGCAGGGAGGCACGCATAGCAACTCGCGAGCACAGGAGGTGGGGCACAGGATCGAAGACGAGGACCCACATCGAGACTGACATCGGGCAACCCTCTCTCCAATGCCGCGCGAGCACCCAGAGTCCAGGGTCCTGGGGGCCCACGGGAAAAGGATGCGGCGCCAGCGCTTCTCGAGAAGCCGCGCTGCCTTGGAGACGGCGGCGGGACGTTCCCTTCCCTCCAGAGCCGAGGACGAGGCCCCCACGGCTGTCACAGCTCCTGCAGCCACTGCGACGGGAGCCGCGCTGCACAGTGTGGTCACTCCGCCGAGCTTGTCGGCCATGCCCACGTGCTTGACGGAGCCTCTCTGGCGGTCGACGCATGCGACCTGCACAGTGTGGGGGAGGGAAGTGGTCAGGAGCTTGTGGCGAGGGTCACGCCAAGTGAGACCACGGGCACGAACGCGCTGCACGAAGCCGTTCGCGTGTGTGGCACGAAGCCGTTCGCGTATGTGGCGTCGGTAGAGGTGATAACTACTGCAGCTGCGTGGAAGGTTATAGGTTTTGACCATCCCGTTGGTCCTGGCGGCCTCGGGAAGATTCAGAAGGACAGTGCTGCCATGAACTGCCACTACCCGACCAAGGAGAGCACGCGGGAAGCCGCCAAGCCGAACCGTCTTGGATTTCGACTCGTAGTCTTGTTTGATTGGGGCCCTGGTGGAGCCAGACGAGCTTGGAATCGATGCAGGTGGGGCAGGTCTGGGCGTGAAATGGCGTCTAGCTTAGTGGTCATCGCGGTCTTCTGGGCGTCAATGAAACTGCCCTTCATCTGGAGCTCAATCTTCTGCATCCTCTAATCCACAATGTCGATATGTTGCGCATGCCCTGGGTACCGTAGGCAGCGCGAAGGTGTTTCATGTCGTCCTTGCTGGTCATCGAGTCCTGGCTCTGCTTCTGGGTAGTCTGAATGCTGGCGAGGAGGTTCTTCAGCCAACTGTCGTCGCTGGGGTCGCTAATGGCTCCAGAGTGGCCGCCCTTGCCCTTCCGAGCGTACTTCTACATGGGCAGTTCACCTTCGGGCATGCCTGGAAGCTCCTCGAGACCACAAGGATGTCCGAAGATCGTGGGGTCTGAAGCCCCTGGCCTCCATCGCGGAGATGCAGGGATTGGCAGGGGAAGTGTGACTGCCGAGGAGCATGCCCACCGTCGCTCGAGCGAGCTCGCGGGGGGGGAGGAGGATGAGGAGGAGGAGGCGGAGGAGGAGGAGCAGGAGGAGGAGGAGGAGGAGGAGGAGCAGGAGGAGGAGGAGGAGGAGGAGGAGGAGGAGAAGAGAGCAGGAGGGGAGGAGGAGCAGGAGGAGGAGAGGAGGAGGAGGAGGAGAGGAGGAGGAGGAGGACGAGGAGGAGGAGAGGAGGAGGTTGAGGAGGAGGAGGAGGAGGAGGAGGAGGAGGAGGAGGAGGAGGAGGAGGAGGGACCCTGCTGCCAGTGCCTTCCGGAGCGGCATCGGGTCCGTGCCGTGGTGCGGCACGCCGAGCAGCTCCCGAAGCCGCGCGTAGAGGCCGAAGCGCAGGGAGCCGTAGGAGAGCTGCCGGGCCACCACGGGCTGGAGGCCCTTGTAGAAGGCGCCGGGCCCCTCGCTCCTGCGCGACCCCACGGAGCTCCCACGGCCTTTCTCCTTCTTCAGGGGCAGCGATAGGGGGGGGGGACAGGCACAGAGGGGGGATGCATCGACCCCCCATCGCCCACTGATCGCCGAGAAGGGGTCTGATGGCACCAGCCCGCCCAGGAAGGTGCGGATTCACCATCGGGGGCCTAGCGCCGAGGTATCGGCGATGCACCGGCGACTTCAGGTCGACGCATCCCCCCTCTATGCCAGTCCCCCCCCTATCGTTGCCCCTGAATTCAGGGACCGGCCACAGCGATGTTAAAAAAACGGCATGTCGTTTACATCGAACAACGAAACGAGGCCCAACATTCAAAACACGAACGTTTAAAATGAAGCCGGAGCCAAACGAAAACGAACGACGAAACGGGGCGTCAGAGCAAACCCGAACAACGAAACGAAGCAACAACGAACAGCGAAACGAAAAACAACACAGGGGCCCAAACCACCCTGACTCCGGATCCGCCCTACTTTGGGGAAATTCGTAAGTAGGGCTTGGAATTTCCGCCTTACTTTTCAAGCCCCGCTGATGCCAATTTCCGCCCTACTTTTCTGTTGCTGTTTCCGCGCTACTTCTGTGGATTTCCGCTCTACTTTATGTTGGGCGCCGAAATGTCCGCACTACTTTTTCGGCTCCTTGTAGGTGGGTTCCCGATGCAATTTTAAGTTGAAAAAAAAACCAAAGTAGGGCGGATCTGGAGTCAGGGAATCATGGCGGACAGCATTTGACGTTTTTGGGTCTGCAGGGGGCATATCCTCGGCCACGGGGCCGTCAAGAGGCAGCTCGGGGTGAAGGCACCCCTCCTGTGGAAGGGGTCCAGACCTCTGGGGGCCGACGTCGGCTGTCTGGGAAACCTCGAGGCTGCTGGGCGCAAGCTGGCCCAAGACAAAAAGAGGCCCCCGAGGGGGCCTGGACACGACCAACGAGGGCGCCAAGACGGCCCACGAGGCCCCGCGGATTTGGCAAGAGGCCTTCGAGAAGGCCCCGAGAAGGACCGCAAGAGGGGGAGCTGGCATGGACCCTGCACGTGCCCCCAAGAGGCACCCAAGGCGCGACCAGCAGGCACCCCAGAGCCCCCAGGAGCCACGGAAAGGCCCCAAGAGGCCGCCCCCTGGGCCGTGCAGACGCTCCTCCTCCTCCTCCTCCTCCTCCTCCTCCTCCTCCTCCTCCTCCTCCTCCACCTCCTCCCCCTCCTCCTCCCCCTCCTCCCCCCCTCCTCCTCCTCCTCCTCCTCCTCCTCCTCCTCCTCCTCCTCCTCCTCCTCCTCCTCCTCCTCCCCAAGAAGCTCCGCAGGAAGCCGAATCGGCAGCAGGCACACGCAGGCTGCACTGCGGGAAGCAGCAGCAAGACCGCCACGAGATCGGCAGCCGCGCATGTCCCTGAGATCCGAGGTCCCAGACCTCCTCGAGTCATGAAAAAATCACGACGGGGAGTTTTTCATAGTTTTCAGCCTCCGGGGGCCCTCCCCGGGCCTCGGGAGCGTCAAAAAACGGCTCAGGATGCAAAGCCGGTCATGGGGAAAGGGTCTGGACCTCTGGGGGTCGCGTCATGAAAAAATCATGACGTCGGGGGTCTGGGGTTGCAAAACAATGGCATCATCGCACAGATCACGCCTGGAGACCCGGACCTCGTCTTTCCGCGTCATGCTTCCAGCCCGATCGATCTGTGAGGGCCCCGGGGCCCGAAGTCGAGCGAAAACGCCCGTTGCAAAACAAAAATGCAACGCCAGGATCTCAGGGGTCCCCTCCTGCACGCAAAGGGAAGGGATCGATCGAGCAGGGCAGGACCGTTTTTTTGTGCCATTAGGGGCGGCCTTTCCTTCCTGGTCCACCGGGGGGAGGGGGGGGGAGGGGGGCAGCCCCTCCAGAACTCCGACGTCGCTCCTCTGTCTCACGAGCATGAAGTCGGGCCTGCCCCCCCCCCTACAGGGGGCTCTTTTCGCCGAAAAGATAAAAAAAAAAATACCCCCAGAATCATCAAAGAACGGTCCAAAAATAGTCTGGGGACTATGTTTGAATATTCCTTGACCTTTTCGGGGCATTTTGGATTTTATTTTTTTCAAATTTGTCGTCGCAAATCCCCCTGAGGGGGACACGCCCGACATAACACGAGCACTCCTGGAGAACTGGCCCCCTCCCCCGGGGGCCGCCCCTTCATCCCCGCGAGGCGTCTTCTGACAGCCCTGCACGGGGCCCGCCCAGCCGGCAAGGGCCCCCGGACTTCTAGTGGGCCCCGGAGACGGCAGGGCCATTCTTTCACCGTTTCCGAAAAATCATGCCCCTCGAAAGTGGAAGCGGCAGAAAAAAGGCCACCGGAAACGGCAACAGAAGCGGCTCCGGGATTGGAGCCAGAGCCGGAACCGGAACCGGCAAAAGAAACGGCGACGGAACCTGTAACGAAAACGGCGTCGGAGCCGGCAAAGAAAGGGCAAAACGGGACTGGTAAAGCAACGGCCCTGTCGCTTCCAGGGTCCACTGACCCCGCGGGGGCCGAAGCTGGCCAAAAGCCGCCCGCCGCGTCTTCTTCACGACCCGCGCGCGAACGGGGGCCCGCCGCTCCAATATCCTGTCATTGCACCGGCCTTGCAGACGTGCTGCAGCGGGTTTCTGCGTGGATCTCTGCGCGAATTTCTGCCCGACGCGGCGAGCGAAAAACGAAGTGCACCTCGCGTGGATTTGTTGTTGGTCTTCATGCCCGGCCAACAGAATTTTCGCGCGACATTCACGTCGAAATCCGGAGCGAAATTCTCCGGGACTCTCCGGGCCTATCCGATCGTTTTCCAACCCAGACATGCGACGTCCTGATTTTTTCAGGACGGCGTTCCCGGAAGTCCCGACCCTTTCCCCAGGACCGGTTTTTCATCCCGAGTCGTTTTTTTACGGTCCCGAGGCCCGGCGAGGGCCCCCCGGGGCCGAAAACGGCGAAAAACCTCCCGTCCTGATTTTCACACGACGCGAGCATGTCTGGATATAAATTCCCGCCTTGGAAACTTCGACGTCGCGTTTCTGCTCAGAACGTGCGCCCCTGGAGGTCTGGACCCACCCTGGGCGCTCCTCCCGAGGCTCTCGTGGACGGTGCCGGGGCCCGGCGAGATCCCTTGGAGGCCGAGAACTGGCATTAGGTCGGGCGATCGCATCTAAACGCATCTATTATTTTTAGCTGCGTCTTGGAGGAATCCTATCGTTTTCCGAACTAAATCCGCTCTGCGATGTTGGCGCCATATGGCTCCTGCAGATCTTTGCCGCGGCGTCCACCACGCCCCGGTACTCGGGGGCCCGGCCGCCCTCGCCCTGCAGGTGCAGCCGCACCTGCAGCTATAGGGGTCGGGCGCGTCCCCCAGAATTCGCCGGCCCAACGGGCCAGAGGCGTGCTAAGATCTCCGGTAGCTGGCTCACAATATTTCTAGTTCGCGCGCGCGGGGCGGCCCCAGGGGGCCCCCGACGAAAAGTGCCCCGGCAAGGTCCCGGGAGGCGCCACCAGAGCACTCCAGGGGAGGGCCATTTTTCGACACCCCTCACGGGGATCGTGGCCTCCGAGGGTGGAGCCGCAATCGTCTACCCCCCCCCGTCCCGCTTCAAGAGCCCTCCAAGAGCCCCCCAAGAGGCCCTGGGGGCCCCCAAGACGCCGCCAAGGAGCCCCAAGAGACCCCCAAGAGGGCCCCAAGATGCAAAATTCATTGTCTCTCATTAGGTTTTGGGGAGATTTTGGCGTTTCTACCTTTTCGCCATCGCGACGCCCCAAGACGGCCCAAGAGGCCTCCAAGATCGCCCGAAGAGGCCCGAGAGGCCTCCGACAGGGCCCCAAGACGGCCCAAGAGGGTTCCAAGACGGCCCAAGAGGCCTCCAAGACGACCCAAGAGGGCCCCAAGAACGCTCTAAGAGAAGCCCCAGAGCGGAAACACGAAACAACATTGCGAGCCCTCGGCCCTGGGATGCCTTCAGGAGGCGCCAAGAGGCCCCTTTGAAGCCCCAGGAGGCCCCCAAAAGGCCCTCGAGATAGCCCCCAGACGCCCCACGAGGCTTTCAAGAGCACCCCCAAGAGGGCCCCAAGAGGCAAAATTCAGTGTTTTTCCTTGGGTTTGGGGGAGAGCCCGAGAGGCCTCCGACAGGGCCCCAAGACGGCCCAAGAGGGTTCCAAGACGGCCCAAGAGGCCTCCAAGACGGCCAAAGAGGGCCCCAAGAACGCCCTAAGAGAAGCCCCAGAGGGGGGAACACGAAACAATATTTCGAGCCCTCGGCCCTAAGAAGCCCCCAGGAGGCGCCAAGAGGCCCCTTTGAAGCCCCAGGAGGCCCTCAAAAGGCCCTCGAGATAGCCCCCAGACGCCCCACGAGGCTTTCAAGAGCACTCCCAAGAGGGCCCCAAGAGGCAAGATTAATTGTTTTTTCCATAAGTTTTGGGGAGATGTTGGCGTCTCCACCTTTTCGCCATCGCGACGCCCCAAGACGGCCTAAGAGGCCCCCAAGATCGCCCTGAGAGGCCCGAGAGGCCTCCGACAGGGCCCCAAGACGGCCCAAGAGGGTTCCAAGACCGCCCAAGAGGCCTCCAAGAGGCCTCCAAGACGGCCCCAGAGGGCTCCAAGAACGCTCTAAGAGAAGCCCCAGAGGGGAAACACGAAACAACATTTCGAGCCCTCGGCCCTAAGATGCTCCCAGGCCAAGAGGCCCCTTTGAAGCCCCAGGAGGCCCTCAAAAGGCCCTCGAGATAGCCCCCAGACGCCCCACGAGGCTTTCAAGAGCACTCCCAAGAGGGCCCCAAGAGGCAAGATTAATTGTTTTTCCATAGGTTTTGGGGAGATGTTGGCGTCTCCACCTTTTCGCCATCGCGACGCCCCAAGACGGCCCAAGAGGCCCCCAAGATCGCCCTGAGAGGCCCGAGAGGCTCCGACAGGGACCCAAGACGGCCCAAGAGGTTTCCAAGACGGCCCAGCAGGCCCCCAAGAGGCTTCCAAGACGGCCCAAGAGGGCTCCAAGAACGCTCTAAGAGAAGCCCCAGAGGGGGAACACGAAACAACATTTCGAGCCCTCGGCCCTAAGATGCCTTCAGGAGGCGCCAAGAGGCCCCTTTGAAGCCCCAGGAGGCCCCCAAAAGGGCCTCGAGATAGCCCCCAGACGCCCCACGAGACGACGCAGGGTGCCGGGGACTCGGGCCTGAGGCTGCGCGGCGAAGGTCGCCGCGGGCCGCGGCAGCTCCGAGAGAAGCCCGGCCGTCGTCGTCGTCGTCATCGTCGTCGTCGTCGTCGTCGTCGTCATCGTCGTCGTCGTCGTCGTCGTCGTAGTCGTAGTCGTAGTCGTAGTCGTAGTCGTCGCCGTCGTCGCCGTCGTCGTCGTCGTCGTCGTCGTCATCGTCGTCGTCGTCTTCGTCGTCGTCGTCGACGTCGTCGTCGACGTCGACGCAAAACGAGGGAGAAGGGGGATGAGGAGGGAGGAGGGAGCACGAGGAGGAGGAGAGAACAGCAGAAGGGAGTTGAGTCCTCCTCCTTATCCTCCTCATACTCCTCCACCTCCTCCTCATTTTCCCTCCGAGACATGAAGGTCAGACGCGACACCCGATTCGGAGAGAGGCCAAATTCGGCGGCCCAACGGGCCAGAAGCGTGCGAAGATCTCTGGTAACTGACCCCAAGATGGTCCAAAAAAGCCCCGAGTCGCCGACCGATCGGACCAAACCGCTCAAAATGGCCTCCAGACGCCAGCAGACGCCTGCAAGACGCCCGACGATGCCTCCAAGAAGGGTCTCAAGAGAGCCCCAGGAAGCAAAAATGGTCGAGTTCTTTTTGGTGTTTGAAAGATTTTAGCGTTCCCACCTGTTCAGCTCCCCGACGCTCCACGACGGCCCAAGAAGCCTCCAATATCGCCCCCAGGCAGCCCAAGAGACCTCCAAGACGGCCCAAGAGGCCTCCGACACGGCCCAAGATGGCACCAGGCAGCCCAAAGAAGAGGCCCAAAGTGGGAACCGGAACGGACATATCGAGCCCTCGGCCCCAAGCGGCGCCCAGAAGCCCCAGGATGCACCCAAATGCTCCCAAAGGAGCTCCAAGAAACCTCAAAGAGGCTCCAACAGAAACCCAAGAGTCCCCCAAGAAACCCCCAACGAGGACCCCAAAAGGAACCCTAAAGCCCAAACGCCAGCGAGGGCACAATACGGGCCGGCGGAATGAGCGAAGTGATTCAATAATCAGAAAATACGGCCAAAAGGCCAAGATGCCACCAAAACGCCACAAAAGAACACCAAGAGGTACGATAACAACAACGAAGCAACAAGAACGATGTCGAGCGCCGTGTCATGATTCGGACAAGCCTCGTGAAATGCAGTCCTGGAGGCGCAGTAGTTTACATAGGGGTCGGCGGATGTGGCGTAAGCTAATAGGATAATCAGAAAATGCGAAAAAGATCGTCCCCAGCCTATTTCTCAACCATCCTGTGGTGTTGGGTCCTCGTTTTGAGGAGACATCGCCCCGCGTCTCCTCCCTCCTCCCGCTACCCACTCCCTCCTCCTCTCATCATCATCATCATCATCATCATCATCATCATCATCATCATCATCATCACCACCACCACCACCACCACCACCATCATAATCATAATCAGAATCATCATCATCATCATCACCATCACCATCACATCATCATCATCATCATCATCATCATCATCATCATCATCATCATCATCATCATCATCAGCATCAGCATCAGCATCAGCATCAGCATCAGCATCAGCATCAGCATCATCATCATCATCATCATCATCATCATCATCATCATCATCATCATCATCATCATCATCATCATCATCATCGCCATCATCATCGCCATCATCGCCATCATCATCGTCACCATCGTAATCATCATCCTCGCTGTTATCCTCACCGCCGTCGCCACACCCATTTCCGCAAACCCCTCCCACGTTTCGTGGCCCCATAGGGAGCCCCACCACCGAAGGCCACAGTGCCACCGCCCGCATGCGTCCCCCAAACCCATTTCGTCACACCCCTCACACGTTTCGTGGCACCATAGGGAGCCCCACCGAAGGCCCCAGTGGGGGTGGCCACATGCGTCCGCCACACCCAGTACAGCGCTTCGTGGCTCTATAGGGAGCTCCACCTAATGGCCCCGTGGGGGTGGCCACATGCGTCCGCCACACGCAGTACAGCGCTTCGTGGCCCCATAGGGAGCTCCACCAAAGTCCTCTGTGGGGGTGGCCACATGCGTCCGCCACACCCAGTACAGCGCTTCGTGGCCTTATATGGGGCTCCACCGAAGGCCCCAGTGGGGGTGGCCACATGCGTCCGCCACACCCACGTCGGCACACCCTTCACACGCTTCGTGGCCTTATAGGGAGTTCCACCTGAGGCCCCAGTTGGGGTGGCCACATGCGTCCGCCACACCCAGTACAACGTTTCGTGGCCTTATAAGGAGCTCCACCTAAGGGCCCCGTGGGGGTGGCCACATGCGTCCGCCACACCCAGTACGGCGCTTCGTGGCCTTATAGGGAGCTCCACCGAAGTCCTCTGTTGGGGTGGCCACATGCGTCCGCAATGCCCAGCACAGCGTTCCGTGGCCTTACAGGGAACGCCACCGAAGGCCCCAGTGGGGTTGTCCTCATGCGTCCGCCACACCCAGTACAGCGCTTCGTGGCCCCATACGGAGTTCCACCTGCGGTCTCAGTGGGGGTGCCCGCATGCGCCCGCCACACCCAGTACGCCCCTCACACGCTTCGTGGCCCGTTAGGCCCCCGCCACGCCCAGTTTTTACAGTTATATAAATTCACACTAGGCATATCCATGCTCGCATTCATGCACATGGACTCACTCGCACGCAGACTCAATCACAATTAGACGCGTTCGCGCTCAGTCTCACCCGCGCTCAGTCCCCCGTGCTCAGGCCTATCGTTTCTGCTCGTGTTGTGTACCCCGCCACACATGTCGGCACACCCCTCGCACGGCTCGTGGCCCCTTAGGGATCGCCACCGAAGAAGATGTTCACACTTGCGGTACTCACAACTGCATATGGTTGGGTCCTTCGCCAGGACAATTCTGGACTATTTCTGCATATTCCTCCTGCAGAGGGGCACGCCCGACTTACACCTTCAGCACGTCGAGGGGGATCATGGCGGCGTCGGCCAGGGCGCTCGCCACGCCGCCGTAGACCTCTGGGGGGGGGCCTAGCCGCCTGGCCGCGCACGACTGGCCGACGGCGGCCAGATGCCCCTCGTCCCTGGTGCGCTCCGAGCGGCAGGGGCGGCGCCGGAGACGCCGCCAGGGGTTGGCCAGTGCCGACTGGGAGGAGGGGGGCATGGCGAGGAGAGGGGCTGGGGAGGAGAGGGGGGAGGGAATGGTCAGGAGTGGCAGGCGTGGGGGAGGAGGCCTGGGAGCGCGGGGACGAAGAAGATGGAGGGAGGGAGGGAGGGAGGGACGGATGTAGGAGGACGCCGAACAGGGAGAGGATCATGTCGAAGAGGAGGGGAGGAGGGGAAGGAAGGAGGAGGAGGAGGAGGAGGAGGATGAGGAGGAGAAGGTGAGGATGAGGATGAGGATGAGGATGAGGATGAGGATGCGGATGAGGAGGAGGAGAAGGAGGAGGAGGAGGAGGAGGGGGAGGAGGAGGAGGGGGAGGAGGAGAAGGATGAAGATGAGGATGAGAATGAGGAAGAGGACAAGGATGAGAAGGAGGAGGAGGAGGAGAGCCACTACCTGCCAACCAGTGGCGGGATGTGGCGTGCGCTCGGGCCGCGCGCCGCGCCGGCGATGACGGCGGCCGGCCTCGAGACGAGGGCCATGGACACGGGGATCTTTACTGGCAGTACGCCGAGACCCACTGGCGCCGCATGGCGGCGCCTGGCTTACGCAGTAGGTAAGGGAAACGAATATCAGGGCCAGCGACCTCACCATCGTCACCAATGGCGTCCACGCCAACGCCACGAAGGTGGACTGGTATCACCATGATCGGAGAGAATGGCGAGACGAGGAGGCAACACCCTTTTCACATGGCGCTGAGGTGAGGCCCTACGCTCAGGCACCCAGCGACCAGTGAGACGCACCGACAGTACTAGCACCAGATGATGAATGTAATTGCGAACGGTCTGATCATGGAAGGTATCGTGAACGCAGTGATCCTGGACGGCATCGTCAATGGGATCGTGAGAGACCTGACTGCAGATGGACCGAGCACTGCTCCAAGGCTTACAGGTACACCAGCGCCTCATCCCACGCCGACGCCGCCACGAACACCGACATCAGCGAGGCCGGCAAGTACATCATTATTCAGGTCGATCCAAGCACATGGTGCAAGCAGAAGGGACACGCAGATGTGAGCGCCGAGGCTCCAGAGCTCGGGCCCAGCATCGACCTCCAGCTCCTGCCTCCCCTCATCCGCGCCATTCCCGACGCCTCCTACAGCGAGGCCCCAGAGGTCAAGGCGGGCGGAGGAAGCGTACGTCACGGAGGGCTACGCCAATGAGGAAATCGAGGTAGTCGAGGAGGCGGTGCGGAGGAGACGGACGTCGTGGAGGAGCGGGAGGAGGGCTACGGAGGAGGAGGCTTCCAGCAGCATCTTCGTCGAGTACACGGCGGAGCCCAGCAGAACGACCGAGGGGGCAGCGGCGGTGGACGCGTCCGCTTTGCGCCCTGCCACGAGGTCGACGGGTACGAGAAGGAGGAGGAGGAGGAGGAGGAGGAGGAGGAAAAGGAGGAGGAGGAAGATGAGGGCGGGGAGGAGGAGGAGGAGGGGAGGGAGGAGGAGGAGGAGGAGGGAGGAGGAGGGAGGAGGAGGAGGAGGAGGAGGAGGAGGAGGAGGAGGAGGAGAGGAGGAGGAGGAGGAGGGAGGACGCTGGCCTAGAGAGGGCTCTACTCCGACGTCGCGTGCGAGGAGGAGGTTGGGCAACTGCGGAGGGAGTCCCCCCCACTCGGAGGCCAGCGTCCAGAGCCGCGCAGCAGGCCACGGCGATCCCGTCCGTGGGAATGCCCCACCCCCCCCACCACCCGACCCAACCCCACACCAAACTGGGCCGACCCCCGCAAAGAGCCCGAATGGGCCCGACACGGGGACGGTGAGCCACGCAAGGACGAGCACACAGGCTTAGCCTCCTCCATCTCGCCCTAATGAACTCATTCCAACGTATAGTAATATACGGACAGGAAGAAGCAGAAGAAGAAGAATGAAGAAGAAGAAGACTAAGAAGAAGAGGAAGGAGGTAAGCCCGGAAACGCCTTCCCAGAAGATGAAGAATGAAGAGTAAGACTAATCAGCCTAAGAATGAATAATCACATACTATGTAATAAGCAGACGAAGACTCTCCAACGCAATCCGCTCCCCTACTCCTCCTCTCCGCCTCCTCCTCCTCCTCCTCCTCCTCCTCCTCCTCCTCCTCCTCCTCTCCCCCCCACAGCTCAGCTCATGCCACGGATCGGCGATCGGCGCTGCTCTGCACGGATGGGTGAGAGACGCGAGACGCAATCACCACGGAGGATGTTCGGGTGCTCGAGGTCGGGACGCACGAGGCAGCTCGACGGTGGACGCGGGGCCAGCTCGGAGCCCACAGTCGACCCTGCGCCGCCCTGCGACCCGCAAGCCCCCATCCTCCACGCTGCCACTGGCCCACGGAGCACGAGGCAGTTCTCCCTCGGCCACCCGATCCGGGGGCCCGCTCTCGCAGTCCCGCACCTGCGCGGGCGAAGCGTCAGCCGGACGCCGGGTCCAAGCCGGGCTCGGCCCACCTCCGTGCCGCGCTCCTCCCCCCTCCCGCTTGCCGGGCCCGGAGCGCAGAGGCCAGATGTTGAGCAGGGACCGGCCGTCCCGGCATTCCTGTAGCCCTACCAGGACATGTTCTTAGAACCCCCCAAAATGTTCTGAGAACGAGGGCAGTGTTCTTAGAACAGAAACCCGATGTGATAAAGCCACAAACATGATCGACCCACGAACCCGGAAAGGAATATAGCACTGTACCACATGGCAGCGTTTTCAAAGACACATGATTGGGTGACGGGCAAATGCAATGCTGAGTGTATCGATCCTGATGTACCCTGCCGAGGGCTGTGCTGTGCTGCACCGTGCTGAATTGCGATGTGCCATGCCGCGATTGTGCTCTATAGCCTCGACGCATCCGAGTCCTGACCGAACTGATCTGGATCTTAAGCTCGAGCTGCCTGAACACATAGTAGCTGCCCAAGAGCTAATGGACAGGGGAGCATGTCAGGAGGACGCGCCGCGAAACGTCCCAAGGGATGGCGCCAGGCGGCGTGCCAGGGGACGTGCCATGGGGTCGCACCGCGGGACGTGCCAAGGGGACGCGCTACGGAACGTGCCAATGGATGTGCCACGGGATGTGCCAGGGGACGCGCCACGCGACGTGCCAGGGGGACTCGCCAAGGGACGCCCCACGGAACGTGCCAAGGAACGTGCCAAAATGCAATGCTGAGTGTATCGATCTTGATGTACCGTGCCGAAATATGTGCTGTGCTGCACCGTGCTGAATTGCGATGTGCAATGCCGCGATTGTGCTCTATAGCGTCGTGGATCGAGTCCTCCTTTGCATCCGAGTCCTGACCGAACTGATCTGGATCTGAAGCTCGAGCTGCCTAAACACATAGTAGCTGCCCCAGAGCTAATTGACAACGGGACATGCCAGGAGGACGCGACGCGGAACGTCTCAAGGGACCCGCCAAGCGACGTGCCAAGGGACGTGCCATGGGGACGCACCGCGGGACGTGCCAAGGGGACGCGCTACGGAACGTGCTGGGGACAAGCGTTTCGCTCGAGACATCCTGCCAACATCCTCAGAATTCCTGCGCGCGGGACGCGGCAAGCGCGAGACATCCGCGGGACGCGGCACGCGCGAGACATCCTCGGAATTCTTGCGAGCGGGACGTGAAAACAAGCATTTCGCATGAGACATCCTCTGAATTCTGGCCCCCCCACGAGGCCCCCGCTCGAGACATCCTCTAATTTTGCAAAGCCAGCGTTTCGCATTTCGCTCGAGACATCCTGCCGAAATTCAAGGAAATCCTCGCAAAACAAACGAATTAATCGAGACATCCTCGAAATTCCTGCGCGCGGGACGCGGCACGCGCGAAACATCATCGGAATTCCTGCGCGCGGGGCGCTTTTCCGCGTCGCGGTCGGCTCTGCAAAACCGGCGTTTCGCTCGAGACATCCTCAACAAATTCTGAAAACAAGCGTTTCGCTCGAGACATCCCCAACTCTGCAAAACCAGCGTTTTGCTCGAGACATCCTCAACAAATTATGAAAAACAAGCGTTTCGCTAGGGACATCCTCAATTTTTAATTCGCCGGCCCTACGCGACCTCGTTATTTATCGCAAAAGAAATTCGCCGGCCCTACAGCCGTCAAAACCGGGGGGAAACAAAACTAAAAGAGAACCCTGGGCCTTTGCCCTTTCCGGGAAACATGATGGACCCACGAACCCGGAAAGGGATATAGACATGTGGAGCATGGGCACGTTTTCACGATACCCAACGGGGCAACACCTCACGAAACATCCCACGAGACACCTCACGAAACATCCCACGAGACACCTCACGAAACATTCCGCGAGACACCTCACGAAACATTCCAGTAGACACCCCGCGAAACATTCCACGAGACACCCCACGAAACATTCCACGACGACAGGCAACCACTCAACCAAGGCGGTGTGGTCGTGCTGGGGAGTGGTCGTGCTGGGGTGTGGTCGTGCTGGGGGGTGGTCGTGCTGGGGTGTGGTCGTGCTGGGGTGGTGGTCGTGCTGGGGGGTGGTTGTGCTGGGGCGTGGTCGTGCTGGGGCGTGGTCGTGCTGGGGCGTGGTCGTGCTGGGGTGTGGTCGTGCTGTGGTGAGGTCGTGCTGGGGTGTGGTCGTGCTGGGGTGTGGTCTTGCTGGGGTAGGGTCGTGCTGGGGTCGGGTCGTGCTGGGGTGTGGTCGTGCTGGGGTATGGTCGTGCTGGGGTGGGGTCGTTCTGGGGTGGGGTCGTGCTGGTCGTGCTGGGTGTGGTCGTGCGGGGCTGTCTTGCCTGGGGGGGGGGTCGTCTGGGTGTGGTCGGCTGGGGGTGGTCGTGCGGGGCGTGGGTCGTGCAGGGGCGTGGTCGTGCGGGGGCGTGGTCTTGCTGGGGTGGGGGCTGCTGGGGGTGTGGTCGTGCTGGGGTGTGGTCGTGCTGGGGT